CGCAAGATGTGTTACTGTTTAATAGTTATGCTTTTTTAAAAGCCAACAGTTGAATAAGTGAAAACTATTACTAATTAAAACATGAGTGCTTAAAAATATTTTTTAATGAATTAATATCTAATGAAAGAACAATTGCTATAAGAATAATTATATTTTTGAATAGAGAAGAACACATTTATAAAACTATTTTATAGTTTTTTATAACAAAAATATAAGCGAAATGAAAAAAAATAATTTTCAAGTGGAAAAACTTTTTATTTTATTTAAATTCTAAATAAATAATTTAAACTTATTGCTCAATAACATTATATATATAAAATAATTGATTTTTAACCAAAAATTATGAGTGAAACGTATTATTTAACAACCACCACCTCCGCCTCCACCACCACCTCCACCACCTGCACCACCACCTCCTCCACCGCCACCTCCGCCACCGCAAAGATTAAAATCGCCACCACCTCCGCCTCCACCACCACCACCACCAGGACTCGGGTGAGCTAAAATATACAAGACGAATTATTAATTTTCGATCTATTATAGAATACTAAATATATATCATTACATACCGAAAGCCAAGGCAAATAAAGTTACTACGATACCAAGGAAAGCAAAGAACTTCATTTCGTTGTTGTTCTAGAAAATGTTTCGCAAAGAATGTATTTTGTGGTAGATTCAAATACTCTTTTATATTATTTGGAAACTGATAGTAGATTGATTTTAGGTTTTAACCAAAAATATTTTTGGATTTTTTAATAAAAACAAGAATAGACAAAATCCAATAATATTCTATATTAAGCAAACAAATTTTTGTTATCACTTCAGGGTTTATTTTATATGATAAGAATTTAAAATCTTTTAAGTTTAAATTTGTGTACAAAAATTATTATATTATGTATTTCAATAAATGAATTATTTTACTAATAAAACCTATTCATTGATTTTATTTTTTTTAACACATTTTGAAATTTTAAAATGCAAGAAAAAAATCCGAGTGAAATAGAGATTATTTCGAGTTAATTCCATCAATGTCTATTAGTTTTGCATTAGACAGATTTATTGTTAAATTAAGCTTAGCTTAGCAAAATTTCATTAGATTCAAACTCTATGCTTTTACAATAATCACTGGTAATGAACCTCTTGCCACGAGAAAACAATTAGCTTTGGTTAACTATTTGTCGATAAAACAAAACAAAAGAATAGACAAATCTCCTTAGCATCATTAAAACGTTTGTTTATAAGAAAAACTAAAATCCTAAATAGTTTAATTAGATGAAAAACTAAAAGCCTATTAACAAAAAAAGACAGATGAGCAGACACACAGAGATATTTAGGTAGATACACACAATTCTATAGACTTATAGATATAAGTCTATCATAGACAAGACATAAGATGGACATAAGTCTATCTACCTAACTGTAGGTGTCAGTCATATCTACGCTTAGTTTTATTCCATCAATTAAAAAAGTATAAAATTTTTTTATAAAGTAAAACAAACTGATACTTATACAGAAACACAAGTAGACACAAGTTAGACGTACAAATAGATAAACACTGTGACAGACGAATATTGCAATATTGATTACTCTACCCAACATTTTTGGGTTAACTTTTTAATCTGAAAAAATAAATAACAGTTTTTAATGAGATTTGGGATGTTGATCTCAAATCCAGAATTGATTTTCTTAGCACCTCAGATTATCTAATAATAAGGCTCTTTAAGACATTACTTTTGTGTAGACTTAACATATCAAACATTTATAGAGAATACTTGATGCAAATTAAGGTACAAATATCATGCAAAATGCATCCTAATTTTGGTCAGTCTTATTGATCAAGAATATGAGAGGTTTGTATTATTTCTAAAATCATGGATAGAGCATTGTGGACAACACATCCGAAATATTTAAAATCAAAATCATTTTTAAATATTTGTTTATTTAACAAATCTGGTAGTTCTCCAAACTAACATCCTTAATTGTTGCGTTTGAGTCAGTTGTGTTAGAAATGATCTAACATAGATAATCATCTAAATGATTGTATATTAAAATTTCAATATAGTGGCATTGAAGCTGCACGGGGCGGTACGCAGATCTTAGATCAGTCATTGCATAATCGCGAAGCTTATGAGGAATACACAAATTAGTCAGTAAAAGGGGGGAGGGATCTCTGTGGAAACCTCCCAGTTATCAGAGTGTGAAAGTGCCCAGATGCACTAACTCGGAAAAGGTTCAACATAACATAACGAATATATATTAGTTCTTACTCATTTTTAAGATATTGTTTGCTATAATATGATTGTTATTTAAATTAAAAATATTAACTTTGTTATATTATAAACATTGCAATTAAGTACATGCGAACAATTTAATCCGCAGTATTAGTTTATCAGTACCGAGAGATTATCATTTTAGAATTTAAGTACATGCATTTATGTGAGTTTATACTTGAAATGTAATTAATATAAAATGTTCATTAGAATTTTAGAATGGTTTAATCAGTTTTATTTACGACATTTGTTTTGAAAATTTCAACTATTTGAACTTGTGGTTTATTTTCGAATATATCAGACGTAATGTAAACAAACGTGATTTAGATTTTAATATTATTTTTATTTTCAAATAAATAAAACAATATATGTAGAACTGCAATTCAACAAAGAAGGCTTAAAAGTATATTTTAATGATAATGATTTTATGACAGTTCGATGAATATAGTGTCAGTCAGAATATCAATTAATTCGTCTGATGCTGATAATTTTTGCAGTAAATAAAAATTAGAATGTCTAATATGCTATTAACAATTTGATAAGATAATTAATGAATGACATGTAAGTATGCGTTAAGTATACAATATCACATTGAACCCCATCATCCTGATATGAGTATTCAAAGTGATGTTTGCTATAATAAGTTCATATATAAATTATTATACTATTTTATTTCTGTGCAGTATAACAAACAAACACGAGATAGGACGCATATATACATCATATATGCAGATATCTATATATAATATAAATGGGCCCTTCTTAATAAGAAAAAAATCTAGTCTTTAAGATATAGTTCAAACGTTATAATTTTAGGTATAATAAATTTGTTTATGGTCACTTTCCGCTAGAAAATTATCTTGTTATTATATAAGATTTAATATTTCTTTAAATGACATTTTCTAAAGCTAGCGAAGAAAGTGTTCATCATCTACTTTACCCTATTAATTGGCAAAGCAGCGTAGATGACTTATTTTTTAGTAGATTAGTCAGTTGCAAGACCTTCCACTAAGAATTATATCGCATCGATAATTGATTTAATGATTTTTAAGCCTTTTAGAGGTATTCAGTAACACAGTGGATTAGCAGATATACTTGGATCCTTGGGTTCACTGAAGTTAAATAACTAAATCTATCGCAATCTGAATATTAATTTTTTAAAAGGTTGTTTTTTATAGTGTTAAAAAATTTCCAAAAACAAATTTGTCCATTTAATTTTGTGTTTTCCTTATTTCTTTTGTTAAATAAATTATATTTATTAAATAAATTATTGGTATTTTGGATATTTTTAAACACTTTCATAGAAAAATTTATTATCATTTAATATTAATACAAATTGATATAAACAATTAACCAATTAAATATATTTTTATATATTTTTACAAAATTATTACTTTATTTTATTTATTAAGCAGTAATAGTTTTTAATTCTAACTACTAATTATTATCAATGAACATAAATACTCATACCGCAATATATTTTATCGATCGTAGTGTCTTCTATTAATAATACCTTAAGTATTATTTTAACTTACACTTTATTTGATAATAAATTATTTTAATTCATTATTATTATAAATATTATTATTTGATTTATTTTTCGTGATAGATATATACTGCATTCATCACTGCTCGTACTCCAAATTTGACTTCTATCCCTTGTAGCTGAGCTCCAGTCCTGTTATCTGGTTAGAATTTTTTTAAAATTTTCTTCCAAAAACAACAATTTCAATATTGAACCACTTACGACTTATAATATTTTTTATAATATCTTTATTTATTAATTTGTTAAAAGTATTTAACAAAATTATAGCTCACTTAAAGATATATTATTGTTAAGTTTTAATATTCGCAGTAATCCATGTAACTGGCAGATTATGAAAAATTCTTGCTTATCAATAATAAATTATAAAAAGTGTAAGATGGTCATATCATGACTTCGGTAATCTCAAAGCATATATATATATAATCCCCATCTTAAGTAGTATATTTTTGAGATCTGCAATGACTCATACACTATATTACTTGGATTTTAATAAATTTAGCGCTTCTGAATCAAATGTCCAGATCTTTTGTGGGTTCAAGACATGTATTCGAAAAACTAATGATATAAATAAGTCATATTTTCTTTTCTGACGTTTAAATTCTAGTAAACTGATTAACTGTATATGGTAAAAGGCTTTTTGATTACATTGGGACTAGATTAACGTTATTAAAAATATTTTAAAAACAATTTTTTTTTTACAATCTAAATAAATTTTTTAAATAATTACTTATATCTTTTCCAAAATTTTTATTTAGAAGATAACAACTTTAAATCTATTCCTTCGTCTTCCTTCGTTGCATAGTTTTTTGTAGCAATTGATATATTTGTATCAATTGTATATATATTCTCTATTTAAGTATCTTGAATTTTGTGTATACATAACTATTAAAAATAGTGTAGATAGATGATAGTAGAAATAATACAAAATCAAAGTACAAGGTGCTGTAAATGTATAGATTTCATCATATTTAATTTATTATAATTGCTATAATTATTTATTATCATCGTTTACTTAACATAAGTTGCAATTATTTGAATCAAATCGGTTTAATGACAGCTACGTTTCAGTTTACGTTTTCTGTGTAATACAGGAAATTCCAAGGAGATAAGAAAACTACAATATATAAAAATTTTATTTTGTATGGTTTTTCCATTGTTTGATTTTTATTTCATTTTTTTATGTTCGCATTAAAAAAATCGGCTTAACTCAAATCAAACAAACGCCTTATAAAATATCGCGAATGCTTTCTACTCATTTATTTCAGAGTTAGTATTGGAATCAATCGAACATGAAATTTCTACACATCTTTGCAATTTTATTAGTGGCTATAGCGTTAGTCAAAGGTAAATAAAATTTGTTATTAATAACATTTATTTTAAATTGTTTTTATTTTTAATAGCTAATCCATTGCCTGGCGGTGGTGGAGGAGGTGGCGGCGGTGGCGGTGGACGAGGTTGCAATTGTGAGCCTGGTGGTGGAGGCGGCGGTGGTGGTGGAGGTGGTGGCGGCGGTTGGGGCAACGGTCCTGGTGGTCCTGGTGGTGCCAAGGGTCCAGATTGTGTGCGCCCATCATGGATGCCTCCATGTCCATAAAACAAAAATATATGCTTATGTTTTAAATCATCTGCTGAAAATTGTCTTGCACATTTATGTGCCTCTACTACAATTGACCAAAAATTATGTACCTCAATTCGCTATTAAGTATGATTTATATAGATTTATGAACCTAACAACTATATATAAAATTATTTTTAATTAAAGTTTTTTATTAAAATAAAGATCACATTAATCAAACATGATTTATTATTATTTTGTAATTATGTTAAATGATTTCCGTCATAGTTCAATCATTATCAAATTAAATTTATTTTTGAAATTGATATGGTTTGACTAAAGCATTGATTATTATTTGCAATTTATATATGATCTGAAATATTCTATTCAAAACATAATAATAATATTATCATAAAAAGCATCTTTAGTTGAAATCTAATATAATTTATTTATGCCTTAATATTTGATAGACACTAATCAAATATACAAAAATAATATATATTTAATATGGTGAAATCTAACTGAAAATTTTTTATCAAAAATATCAGTAAGCTGAAAATACCCTTTGTATTATAAATCCGTTATAGATACTATATATCTATTAGATAGCTATAAATACTTTAATTGTCTGTATATTGCGTGTGTACAGTGTTGCTTTTCCGCGATCTATTAGGGACTTTCCAGTTTTTTGCCCACAAATGATACATTTTTTCATGGTTTTCCTCTTTTGGATAATCCTAGAGTTTCACAATCAATTAAATTCTAATTAATTTTTTCCGAGAGAAAATATCGTTAAAGAGTAAATTACAATATTTTACGGACTGGAGTCTATAACAATCAATGGACCGGTAGTTTAAATATCGTGCTATATATTTTTTACATGATGGTTATTACGATCAGATTAAGAAAGAAGAAATGCTTAAGTTCTTAAAGTGCTTTATAACACCTTATTTTATTATCTTCTTATTACAAAAGTTTAACCAAATCCGATTTATCTCCATGGCTTACATATAGTAATTAATAGTATGTTAATTGTACTAACTGACGAATCTAATACTTTATTGAATGTATATAATTTCTAATTAATAATAATCACATGTTGATTGATTACAGATTTATGTACTAAGATTAATTTCTTTTAAATGTATTTAAAAAAATTTCAAATAAAAGTTGCATATCCAGTTCATTTAAAAAAATAAACATTTTTTAGCTATGTTAGGTAAGTCAAAAATAACATAATTTGATGATAAATTATCTAACATAATATTTTAAAATATTAAAAATATTAAAAAATAATAAAATATTATTTTCTCCCTATTACATTCCTAGATTAGGTTCTATCTACAAGAAAGAATAATGTAAAAGCATGCAAAGGAATCATATTAATAATTAATAATATAAATATTATTAATAATTAATAATATTAATATTATTAATAATTAATAATATAAATATAATTAATAATATAATATTATAGTTATTAATATAAATATTATTAATTAATTCAAATATTATGCAGCCGGTTTCGGTATTATTTCGATTTATTATTTCACAGCAAATAAATATTTTAATGTACTTTCAGAGCAAATTAACAATACATCAAGTTCGAATATACCAGTCAAATACAGCTTTGGGTCATTTGGTTATTGAACGCTGACTCTGAATTTCAAATTGGGCAGGGCACGATTTCAATCTTTGGTACTTGTAGTGTCAAAAAACTATTTACGAATAAATAAATATAAGAAATAATTTCAAGATCACTGATAATGGATATTTGACAATACTAGAAACAGCTGCATAGTCAGCCAAAATTTCAATTAATTAAAATAATATTAAAGAATTTTTTTGTTATTGTTCACTAGTTTTCGAAACCTCTCTTAAAATAAAATAAAGAATAATAATAGCTTAATTAGGTAAGTTGTTTGCTATAATATGTAAAACCTTTGAATTGAATTAAATAATAGAAAGTTAATAGAAAAATTTTAGAAAAATCTTCAAAAAATTATATAGAAATGTGTTACTGTCCGGCACGTTTCCATATCACATAAAAACTTGTTTTAAACTGTTCTGGTGACTATCTGTTTTTTATCGCCTATTCATGGATTGAAATCTAAGAGATATATTTTTTCGTTGATATAAAATCACCTAAAGAAATTATTTTTTTAAAATAGAGAAATATTACAATGGAAAAATAGTAATAGTTAGTTACAGACATCTTATTAAAAATATTTTAGAGTTACTACAGAAGCTCAGTAACAAAATTGTAATAACTTTTTAAATTAACTTTTATGTATTCATCATCAACTAAAAAATTATTTATTAAACTAAAAAGGACGATATAAACTAAAAAAATACAGGCAACATGTCAATCCGGGATAATATTTTTAGAAAAAAAAACAATTATAACTGGTCTTAGTGTATAGTGGTACAGCATGAAAACTATATTGAGGACTTTCCTTGTTCAAGTAGGTAGATGAAGAGAAGAATTTGGACTCTTCTACATTACATATTCATCTCTATTTTTAAGCCAGACATGGTTATTATACAAACAACCGTACATATTGACCCAAATTTTTAATTCTTTTTAGACTAAAGATTCCCTAGACTGAGTTGGAAAACGAAGTTTTTTACGCTATAGGCTTACCAAATTTATGGTGTTGATTTTAATGAAATATATTAAATAAAAATTGTAAAACCCAGTATACAAATGGTGATTGCTTGGAGGATTGATTTGTACAACCGAGAAACTTTTGGTAATCATTGAACTGAGCACACTATAGACAAAGCTATAAAAAAATTTAAAGAAACTGGATCTTTAACAAAGGATTTAGATAACTTTCTCATGCACACTCAACTTAGAATATTGTTGATGTTCGTGGAAATGTCGAGAGCATCCAAATTTATCTACAACGATTTATCCACTAATTCAGACAGCTGACTATACAACTGCGTTCTGTTTTTTTTTTTACTTTTTATTTTGTTAGTCCCATTAAAACTTTTAGATTTAAGCCAGATTACTAATTTTTACTTTAAAGAATAAATATTCTATGTGCATATAGTGAATAGTTTTGAAAAGACTTTGACCGTAATCTTTTGATATTTATAAGGCCAGTATATTTATATAATTTTTTTGTTTTGTATTTTGATTCTTATCAGCTTACAGACCCGAACAATTAAACGCATTTATTTAAAAATGTTGGCAAATATTTCGTTCTTTATTAAGAACTTCATCAGTGCTATATAATAACAAACATCATATCAATATTTATATAATTGCCATTATTTATTTTTTAATTTGTTATGATTTTTTTATCAAAATATATTAAACCGCAATAGCAGTCCAAAATGAACACAAGTTATTAAGTAGAAATTAAACAATATCGTTTTGTTCATATAAAACTTGAAATACATTATATTCTGCGTATATTTTTTTAATATACTTGAATACTTTATTGAAACTTGATAATTTATTATGAAAATTGCGCAATAATCGTCTGAATGCTATTTAAATGGGCTTTTAATTGGAAGTTTATAAATATTCAGATAAAATAATTTCCAAGAATTTGCTTAAGTACTTGACAAGCGATAGTAATGTTAATATTATAGAAACTTAAATAAATATTTATAATTCAATAATGCAATCTTCCGACTGCAGCATTAACTGCAGTCATAAGCCGACTTAAGATTTCATTTATATATAATTAAAAAAAGTCCCCTTGAAAATAATGAGAAACTAAATAAAATTGTTTTGTATATATTAATCTAGTATGGTCATATTACTGCGTTATATATAAGTAATTTAAACACTACTCTTCATTACATAGTTATATGTTTATTTATAAAATATCTAGTAAATATAAATAATATCTATATAAAATTTAAAATATATTAATTAAGCTGTATATAGATATTATTTACTGTTATTAATGAATACAAAATAACATATTAATATTTTAACACATATACGTATATATATACATAAAGATATATATATTATATATATTTTGTATCAAATTTATGAAACACATATATGTATTCATATAAGTAAAAATGAAATTTTGACGGAATATTTCGAAATTTCGAATTTTAGTTCTTTCCTAATTAATAATAAAATTTAAACAATTTTCCAAAAAACATTTTAGTATATTTATTTCACCTTAGTTTGGTTTTTGATTGACTTAACATGCTTTATGAGAAGAACTTATAACATACAGGTTTAAATTTTTATAAATAAATAAATTCAGTGCATAAAGTAGTAGCAAATATATGTTAGTTCGTGTAAACTTTCTTTCAGTCTTTGTTGAAACAGTCATAGTCCTCCTTAATCACGGAGAAATAATATGGGTTTAAAGAGAAACATTTTACTGAGTTTTGATGTCCTAATTGAATTAGTCTATTTTAAGGAAACAACATTCGATGGGCATTATCGTTAAGCCTGATTTAATATTAAGCCTGTGAGTTGTATGTAGTAAACTTTTTGAAAACAAATTAACTTAAATTGTTTGAATGAATTTTTTTAAAATTTCTTTACGTAAAATATTTAAAACTACTCACAATGTCACAGAGACTGGTATTATTCATAAGAAAATGCATTTGTTATCTTAAACTGGAGCACAACATAACGAAATCAAATTTCTTATCAGCATAAAATTAGCGAATAGTACGTATGAATGACTTATATTCTGAAAATAAACAAAAAATTGTGTATGAATATCGCCAGAGATGCACCAGTCCAGCAATGGACAAAATTGTAGGAACAATAGGGAACGTCAAAACTTGTTGATTTTGTGCCATTCAAGAGAGATAGAAGAATAAGATGTATGTTATAACATATTCAAAATGAAGTTTATAGAAAACAAAATTATTCTGCAGGATAAAATAAGATTTTAGTCTCTGGAACACTTGTTTCTGGTATATATATACCAGAAATCGCTAAATAATATATTGTTTACTTGTGTTTCAATAAAACTAAGACTAATTTAGTTATCACAAGTTCACTTCTTGTTTTATTTACACGATTATTTAAAGAATAAAATGTGATGGCTACAACGTTAGATTAAATTAGAACCCCAATCTCAAGCAGTTGAAATGCACTTCAATTGATGCACCCATTTAAATAAATATAGAGTCTGTTTTTATTAATTCACATATTGCATGATCCATTAAATTCGACTTTATTATGTACAAGATTAAAGATTATTTTTACAGTGTGTTATATGGGTTTCTCGCCAAGAAAATATATAAATTTTTAATAAGCTTAAATTATCTATATATAGCACTAGAAGAAAAGAACTAAAGTTAGAAGTACCTGATTCAAATTATCTGTTAAATTAAGATAAGTAGTTTTTGCAGTACATTTCTATATATATATAGTGTGTATCTAATATTTTAGATAAATTTTACAACCGAAAGTAAATTTTTAAACTAATGCTTATTATATGTAGATCATATTTTACTCTAGAAAACTTAGAAAACTTGTGCTTACTATACAAACCTTTTCGACTTTTAAATGATTAAAAATATATTCTGATTTAAGTGAACGGAGTCAAGGGAAATATATTTGAAATTCTAAATTTCTCTTTAAGCTTAAATGCAATTACGACTTAATCTCTTTGAATGTTTTTGCAGTATATGTTCTAAAGAAAATATGTATTGCACGATTACTTTGATACATACCGATAAATTTTGTTCATCTTCTAAATATCTTTATTAAGGAGTTATTGCCCCTAAAATATTATTCAATTTTTAAATAATCTTCTTACTAACGATATAAACACTAACAATTCACTAAGGGGAGGATAACTTAAAAGCAATTTATAAAACTGATAATTAATTTAAAACAAATATATATACGTATATTATATATAAAATAATCAAAAATAATATAATTTAATTAGAACAACTTTAACTTTGATTTGCCAATATTTTGTATATCTCAAAGTATCTATAAAGTCTAGATAAATGACAGAAAGATCAAAGTAATGAGTTTCTTAAAGTTAAGTGAAGCTGTAAATCTGAGCATCTATTTTAATCTATTTTATAATTATTATATTAATATAATATGTTTTCAATTTTTAGATATCAGTTTCAGTCGACAGTTGTCAGTGAAATTAATTGATAAAAAAAATATATAATAAGAAAAAAGTTTTAATATGAAGTAAATGCTTGGATAATCGGTGAAGTCAATGAATTTTTTAATTATTACCACGAAATTAGTTTGAAGTTGCGGCAAAAAACTATTACTACTTATAACTGTCACTATGAGTTCAGTAAGTAATGCAGAGGTCACTATAACTTATATTTTAGAGATTATTTACTCTATTTATGTTTCTATCTCGCACAGAAACATAGACATTAGCACAATATTTGTACGGAATATATTCAAGTGATTAGTTCTCATCATGATCCTTTATACAATATTCAGGCTACAGCAGATATATACAATCTGAGCTCTGTGAACTTAACCCTGACACTCACATTGTGCAGCGAATAAATATCCAAAGAGTTCTTTGGCTCGAGTTGAGGATGGAGGGTGATGCTCCAGCGAAGTACATGTTTCAATTAACAGTATGAGAAAGTGGACGTAGTGCAAGATCATCAATTCGATAGAATAATCAATTTAAAGAAATATTGATTACATTTGAAACACGAAAAATATGTTAAGAAGGCGTAAGTGAAGTAGAAACTTTCGAATTACGATAGCGTCAGGTTGAAAAGGTTTTTTTGTAGTTTACCTTTAACATAAGCCATATAAAAGTAAATTGTGTTCAAAATTTATAATAAATTTTTTTTTTTTAAAAATTAAATTCATATACTTTTTAATTCGTACAAACTCTTAGAAGTTATTTGTTTAATTATTAAAATTATTGTGCTATAAAGAGTGTTGTTAAAATTTTTTTTAATACAATTTTAGTATTTAATTATGCCATATTAACAATATGCATTAATTTACATGTGAAATTGAAACTTTGTGATGACAAAATAAATGCTTTAAAATAAGAACATAAAATGTAAAATTAATTTTTTATTGTTCACATTTAGTAAAATTAAATTAGCAAATTTTTCCATTCCAGACAACATGTATTTACATATAAATTTAGTAAAACAAATTGCTAAATATAAATATTCATTGTAGGTTAACACTTGAATTTTCTCGTAATCAGAACTTTGCATATAAAAGTTCAACATAAACACGAATCCGAACTCTAAAATTGAAAATGAACAATTTTAAACTATTTTTAGTATTAATTTCAGATCTCAATTGTTTTATTTATAGAATTATGTTGTAATTTTCATTAAGATTTTACGGCTTTGTTGTGAGATACTTGACAACTTATCATTAACATTTGCGTACTTCAACTGCGGAGTATTTAAAATTTTCAAAATTAGTGCTCAGCAGTATTTGCACTTGTGATTCAGAAGATTGCAGTCAATTTGCATATTTTTGCAATTATATTATTAACTGCAGTCGGTGCTAAACTGGCTGACCTTGTAATTTATAACAAACCCGTTTTAATTTTACTAAACTTTACTTTGATTCGTTTGTTAGAAGCCGCAGATACACGTGACAAGTAACTAATTAATTGCATTTTAAAGCATTTCCTAGAAATATGTTAGGCCACACCAAACACTTAGCTTTTGTTATTTACACATTTTCAGAATTGATTTAAATTCAATTAAAATAGTTGTTTAAATCATATGGACAATTAAATGCCCTATAGCACATATAAAGTGTTTATATTTATGATTAACGCATTTTCAAAATTAATTCGCTAATTGTATAGCAATTAGTAGCAATACCAACACGAAAATGTTTTAGATAATTGTGTCAAAACAACCTAACTGTCTACTAATTTAATTCAATTAGTTGAATGCCGTATCGAAAAAATTCCATTTTCAAAATTAACTCGCTAATTGTATAGCAATTAGTAGCGATACGGATGCGAAGATGTTTTAGATAATTATATTGATTATACTGACGATCAAATTTGAAAGAAAAACAAAAAAATTATAAAAAAAAAAAGTAATATATAGGCCATGTGCGAATTTTAGTAAATTGAGGTAAAGTAAATTGAAATTTCATAGGGATTTTCTGCATTGCACTTATGTAAATTTATTGCATTTATTTATAATTTTTGGTTAAAAGTTTTCAAATTTTTTTATTTATTTATTAAACCTCTTATAAAATTTTCACAATGGTAACACCTAATTTATATAATTTTTATCTAATTTGCCCTACAATTCAATTTACAAATTCTGGTAAATACCAACATTCAGTGCAATATCGATATAATTTACTATTTCCCTCAATTTATTATCAATTTACTCGAACTCGCACACGGCCATAGTATCTTTTCTAAAGCTGGGTCTATTATATATAGTAAATTGTTAATAAACTTTTAATAATTGAATTTTACTGAATTTATTCATTAACTTCAAATTGTCTGCCAGGTATTGTCTGCCTAATTTATATTGTGCTAATTTAGTTACTATAGTCTAAACACTTAATTTTAAATGCACAAGTATAGTTGGGTTTAATTAATGTGAGCTGTAAACACAGCTTTACAAGTTAGCAGGTTGTTACGAGCAAAGTAATTAAAAAACACAGTGTAAACACATAATTTTAAGTGTATAAGTGTCGTTGAAGTTTGTAAATGTGAAGTGTAAACATAGCTTTACAAGTTATTAGGTTGTTGCGAGAAAAGTAATTAAAAAAGAAATGATATTATTTTAAATGACTTTCTTTGAGTTAGTGAAAGTAGGATATAGTGGGAAAAAGTTTTAATAGTATGAAAAAGAAACCTACTGACATTTAAGTTAATAGCTACAAGGCTAATAGGTAATAGCTTTAGTAATTTTTACATTAGTAATTGTTAATTTGATTTATTTTGCATTTCAAGTTGATTGTGTACTTAACATACTGTTCAATTACGGATATAGAGTGAGTGTTTGCTGATATTTTCAGGTTTATTGATGATATGTATTTAACTACCTACTTGCATATTTGCACTGAGATGAAAATTTTTGCTAATTACGTATTTGAAAAATTGCAACGCAAAAATATATTGCTCGTTAATATTTTTTGTTTACAATAACAGATAATAGTAAACTATATAATATACACATAGTAGATATACTTAGTAAGGCAGCTAAGAAGTTGTTAAATTGTATTGCAATCACATCTTTTAGCATTAATTAATAGAAAATATAAGAAAAAAATATTTACAATTGATTGATAAGTTAATATTGTTGTTTTTAATAAAATTATTGCAATTATTTTTTAAATAAAAATGCAATGAATATTGTGTGCTATATTAATCGTGGTCTATTTAGTCAGTTTTTGGACCATTTTTCTGTGAAAAATTTATGAGATATGAGATAAAATTCAGTTATATTTATAATGTATTGTATAAAAAATTTGAAATAAATTTATTCTGAAAAGAGTGATTCATTTCGATAGAACTTTAGTTTATAGCTTCATTAATGCTACTTGAAAATTATATATATAATATGCATTTCGCATTATTGAGCAAAAATATATAACAATTATAATTGTTTATTTATTTACTTTTAAAAAGGTTAAATTGAAATTGTAAAATAAAACTTATATATGAAATTGTAAGAATTTTATTTAATAAACAATAATCATTTCAGTATATAACAGAAATAAAAGCTATTAAAGAATATATTTGAGATACAAACTTAGACACTGAACAGCGTTCAGTTTTTTCACAAAAAAGTTTATAAAAACTTTCTTATTTCAAAGTTATATAAAATATATAATACCAACTTTAATATATAACTGTCTCTAAAGATTTATATATAGGAAGGAAGAATTGACACTATTAGTTTATTGTAAACGACTACTAAACAATATTTAAAAACAAAAACAAAATTTATATTTTTCAGTATAAAATATTTATTACTATTTTCGGATATAAGAAGCTATTAAACATTCGAGTCATGTAGAATATGTCATATATGCAATTAAATAAGAAATATTTACAACCATTTTCATGAAAAAAGTGAAACTTAGTAAAACTACTTTTATAAACATTATTTTAGATTAAATGTAATACTCGATTAACATATAAATATATAATAGCACAATGTTTGTTACATGAAAACGTAAAATATGCAAATTATTATTTATTATTATTTACACATTGCTTTATCTTTAAGTTAGTTTCTGAAAAACAACTGTTAAGTTTACATATTGTAGTAACTAATTTAATATCATTATATGAATCGAAACTTTTCTATCTCTCAGCGATGCCACCCACCACCACCTCCATATCCACCATGACCACCTGCTGTACCACCTGCACCACCAGCACCACCCCCTCCACCTGCACCTCCACCACCCGCACCACCAGCGCCATATCCGTAACCACCCGATGCACCCGGATGTCCAGCAGCACCACCGGCTCCTCCTAATCCACCATAACCACCACGACCCCCTGCAGCACCACCAGCGCCTCCCGCACCACCACCACCACCAGCGCCCCCACCACCGGCACCACCAGCACCAGACCATTGTCCACCACCTCCACCGCCGTAACCGCCATAATTACCAGACAAAGCATTAGGTTCACTTGCTGGCCAACCGTAACTGCCCGGTGAGCCAGGTTGTCCAGGAGCTCCGTTTGAACCACCAGCTCCACCCCAACCACCAGCTACACCGCCACTTCCTCCCCATCCTCCTTCATTTCCAATTTGGCTACCATAATTACCGCCACCATAACCACTCTGACTGCCGTATTTACCACCACTTGATTGTCCAGGGGAGCCGTAATTTGCTCCATCTCCTCCTTGGCCACCATAACTACCACCACCATGTCCACCCTGACCGCCATACTCTCCTCCTCCTGGTTGCCCTGGTTGTCCAGGGGAGCCATAACTGCCGCCATCTCCTCCTCTACCACCATAACCACCACCACCACTACCACCATGTCCACCTTGACCTCCATATCCACCAGGCTGCCCCGGTTGTCCAGGACTACCATCACCGCCGCTATATTCATTATGACCACCAATACCATACCCGCCAGGTTGACCTGGCTCACCAGCACTACCACCAGCTCCTCCCCAACCAGCATTCCATCCTCCTCCAGCTCCTCCATTGCCACTCCAACCACCAACACCACCTGGTGCGCCAGGTTGTCCTGGTAAACCATCAATGCCACCATATCCACCTTGGCCTCCATAACTACCATCACCATGACCACCCTGACCGCCATACTCTCCTCCTCCTGGTTGCCCTGGTTGTCCAGGGGAGCCATAATTGCCGCCATCTCCTCCTCTACCACCATAATCACCACCACCACCACCATGTCCACCTCGACCTCCATATCCACCAGGCTGCCCCGGTTGACCAGGACTACCATCACCGCCGCCATATTCATTATGACCACCAATACCATACCCGCCAGGTTGACCTGGTTGTCCTGGCTCACCAGCACTACCACCATCTCCACCCCTACCACCATAACCACCACCACCACCACCATGTCCACCTTGACCTCCATATCCACCAGGCTGACCTGGTTGCCCAGGTTGTCCTGGACTTCCACCACTTCCACTACCATAACTTGGCGAACGTCTGTATATTGTATGCACAGGTGGTCCAACCGGTTCTTTTAATGGCAAGTCACTACAGCCATTATCCAATACACACAAATCGTCATTATCACTTGCTGTAATTATAAAAACAAAATCAAGATATTTCTGTTCACAGTTTTCATTTAGATTTCAACGTAAAAGTTCATACCAGTGCAAACTATAGCATTGATGAGTAACACAATAATCGACACAATCTGAAATTGTTTCATTTTTCAGTACAAACGGTGAAATCTATTCGTTCACTGTGAAATACAATTGACAAATAATCTATGAGCGTTTTCAGCTAAGGTTTTTATTAGATGATGTACACCCAACCGTAACTAAATGATTGGAAGAGTATTTTCCCCAGAATATTGCCGTAAACATTGCCGAACTAATCACAAAGTATTTAAGACGCGCTGCGAACTCGTATCTATCTTATATGTCTATAATTGATGGTTCCGTACGAAACATTAACCAAACAAAAATTATATATAGAAATAAAATAATTAAAATTATTAAATAGCTATAATTTTACTTTGGAATTTTGTTATTAAAAAGCTTTTATATATAAAATGCTTTTTCAAAATAAAATAGTACTACTGCTAACTAAACAATCTATTGTAGAGAAGCAATTCAATTGAGTAAGGCAGCATTTTGTATGCTCGACGAAACAAAATAATGGATTATAAACTTTGAAAGAACACTGAAAAAGGCGAAGACTGTGGTGTCAATTGAAAAGGTGACTATGCCACAACTATTCTTTTTTCGGGAGGACTGCGTATGAGACGTTTCTGATTAACTACAAAAGGGCAGCATATTTAGCAATAGTGGTGGATATCGTTAGTACATGGAAAATGGATAAAAGTTTTATCTACAGGTATATATAACAGATAACAGAGCAGGTAAAGCTTTGGTTCACAGTTTGATCGTTGTATGGCAAAATGTATGATTTGCATTGTAAAGTGAAGGATTAGCAAGATTATTTATCCGATCTGGTTCCCAGTGATTCTTTTTCGGTTTAAATATTGGCTTTGAGAACAGAGAGAATTCTCTTCAAATAAAAGGGCGATATCCACTAAAAATAGGTACCATAATTACCTTGACGTAATGCCAGCGGTATACACAAGACCGTTAGACAGTAATTTTTCTAAAAGCTTTTGAAGTTCTGTTATATATCAATATATATATCATGTATATATAGTATATTTATAGTAAATATTTTGTCAGAATAGTGAAAAAGTTTACCATATACGTAAACAACGAATTCTCTTAATTATTACAATTCTATTTTTTTACGTTTTATTTATTTCGATATTACAGTCCGAAATATGACTATTAAGACTATATCCATAGTTTATGTGATATTCAACATTTTTAAAACTTAAGTGTAATATATTACAACAAGGAAGCGAAGTGGTATATTAATTTTTAATTTGATTTACTATAATTATATTTCAAGTAATTAGTTGCAAAGAACTTATGTTAGTCTGCTTTGTAATGCTTAATTTATCACCTTATAACGTAAGAACTTAGTTAAATTTTTGTCAAATTTGATTTATTTTAACATTCGTTTCCAATGTCTCCAATAAAAACTTTAGTAAATGAATGAATGTGTTCTTAGTAACATAGCTAGAATTGTGTCAGCAGGAGAAGATTTACTAGTAAATATTTTTTTGGCAGTATTTTTTCAGTTCATTGAATTAATAAAGAGATTAAGCAATAGTAAAGGAAGAATATTACATTCTTATTTTTGTTATTTTTAATATTTTTGTAAAATACAGTATGCTTAAAAATAAAAGCTTACTCTTCCACTATTTTTGTTTCCATAGGTGATAAGTGGTTCTTAACCTACAGTAAAAATTCTGGTGAATAATAGTGCTAAAACATACAAACTAGAATACATCAATATCGTATAGTTTTTATTATCTGTAGATTAATAAAGACATTGATTTCAGTTTGTATTTTGACAAGGATAGGGCTCTATTCTCTAAATCATCTCGGTACCTTTGAATATGTCATTTAATCTTTTTTATATATAGTTGAAATTATTTTTTGAACAGAAAATTAAATATATTAACAAATTTAAGTTCAATACAACTTTTTCTTTCATTTTCCAGTTTGTATTGGTGGTTTATAACATAAGCGATACATTTTATCTGTAAAGAAATTCGAAGTAATCTACATATAATTTACCCTTTAAGACATTTAAACTATTGGAACAGTTGAAGAGCATTGTTAATAACAAGCATATACAGTTCTAGATACAAAGTCAATAAACTAGGCATGCAACGAATATTATTATAAACGCAAACTTTACATAAAAAGATATAGAAAAAAGAAATTTATTCACATAAATGCATGCTTCCTTTCGTTGATTTACGATATATGTTAAATAATATAAATTTAAAAATAAATAAAATTCTTGCTTACTAAAAATACATTAATACAATCGAACATTAAAAGTTCCAGTCCAATAGAATATGTTCTTTATAGAAAAAACTTTGTTTTAATAGATAGGAAGTGAACTATAGTACTATCTATGGTACCTATAGCATCCTATCCTACTATTTTATTATACTACTTTAAAGAAATGAACACACTTTCCATATGTTTACATTTTTTATAATACATTGTGAATTTAAAACTGCTTTGGAGCTGATATCTTTAACGTACAAGATTTCAGTATTATGAAATGATGAAGAGATTAGACAAACCGATCAATTTAACATAAATAATAACTATTCTATGTTATAAAAAAATAATATTTTTAGAACAGATTATATAAAATTATATACATATAGTTCACTTTTAACTTATTCATCCAAAATTTGAAAGAATTACATTATTTTGCTATATATTTATTCTAAACTTATTTTGTAGTCGCTAGAGAGGAATGAAGTCATTGAAGTCGATAGAGAGGAATGAAGTTATTGTAGTCGCCTCCTCCTTTATTATTCCTAAATGACACTAAGAATTCTGTTTCTGATGAAGTTTTCAAATTTCTAACGTTTGATGTTGAATGCTCACTAAATTTCGTTAGACTAGTGGGAGTTCCTATAAATAATAATTAATTTAAACCTAATTTAAATAAAAATAAATATAAATGTTTGGCTCTAATATGTATATATATAGTGGGACGTTGGGACAGCGCACTGTTCAACAGGTGGCCCCATGTGAGGTAAAGGATTAGTCGAAGTAGACTACGAAACGGTTTGGGTCCTTTTTCGTCTTTCGATTCTCAGGTGTCGTTATTGAGTTAAAGCTGGTGTGGCTTCCGTTCGTATAACTACATCTTTTGTTAATGCAAGCATCTCATTTAGCTTGAGGTTTCCTGCTAAGTCATCACCAATCCAATGGTGGTCGCCCTCCTACTTGTCAGTGCTGGACATTGGCACAATATATGCACCGCTATCTCCTTTTCTTCTAGACATAGTCTGCAAGTATCTTCCTCAGCAAGAGTTATCTTTTAGAGGTTATACTTGAAGTTGCCATGTCCAGTAATTAGTGAGGTCAGCCAGCTTAGAGTGCTCCGCGAATAACTAAGCACTTTTGTCGCTTCCATGGCCCACAGTTTCGGCAACATGAGTTTGGTCTGTCTACAAGTGCTCATCTCTCTCCATCTATAAAGATGAAGTGAGGTTATCCACTTATAGACATAGGCTACCGATGATAATCTAATAAAAGTAGAAAAATCACAATATTTCAGCCATATTTCATCCAGTTGAAGCACAGGCGAAAGAACTAAACAAACTAATTAAATAGAACAATAGCTGTCTAGAGATTTGGTTCCACAAACAGCTGACTTTTGCCTCATGTATCATGTATCATAAATTCCGTTCCATGTACATAGAGCTTAATTAACGCTATATTAATCACGTTACTTAATAAGTACGAAAAATTACATATACACCAAAAGGGCTTCAAAGTCTTAATTTGGTATTTTTCCTATGTTAAAATTATAGGATTTTTTTAGTTGTTTGGTCCATAGGTGATATTTATTTTAATTTGCAAATGTCAGATTTGCACATGTTGTGTAAATCTGTCATTTTGCGACGAGCCTTCTAGGGATATTTTTGTTGTATAATTTGGGTTCTTCAGAAAACAATAAAAAAATATATTATATACGGGGCTGATTTTTAAAATAATCAAAAGGTATTATAAATACGATTTATAAGTATAAGTGTAAGAACACGATTTAAACCATTCGAATGACAACTTCTCCATGACCCGTAACGGTTGTCTAAGTAAATTTTTTTTCGGATGGACATACAATATTCCGGAAAATATTAAATATGAACTTGCTTCCATTAACCATCCTTAAATCACTACCCCAAAGAATTCTTTACAGCAAACAAACTTTACAGCACCCGAAAAGATAATTGTTCTCGTAGAAGAATATTTTACAGGTTTACGCTAAAAATACAACATATGATTTATAAATTGGAGAGTAATTGAAATCTTTAATAATTTATTAAGTATATAATTCATAAAAAATATGAAGACATTCTATTCTTTTGACTTTATTATTTTATTTCTTATTTGATTTTATTTTAAATTGAAAAGAGTTCGTCAAGAAGTTTTTCTAGTCCGATAGTATTACCCGAACCATCCTTGTCTGGGTAGGAAGCTTGAGTAGCTTCCTCGGATTTTGCAATACTGCTCGTATCAATTGATTTTGGTGTGGTAGTTGAAGCACCTGATTATACAATATATTTGAATAGTTAATGTATTTGACTAATATAATTTTTCTTGGCTGTAACTTACCAATGCATAAGGCGACTACACTTAACATAAAGTATAAAATAATAAAAAACTTCATTTTAACCGCAATTCAATTGTTTTATTAACTCTGAATTTTATATATAAAATGATGAGTATATATGGCTCACTAGTTGATTTTATAGTTTGCCACTGACTTATTCAAAGAAGAAAATCAGGTTTATATTCGATTTATTGGATGTAATTATTACATTCAGTTATGAGAGTTGTTCACTTACACACTTTCGACATTAAAATTAATAAAATTTATCTATAATTTAATACAAAAAAAAAAAAATTGCATTAATATGAACACATTCTCATATTAATAACATTGTGGTTAGATATGAATATTTAATTTGTAAAGTATGTGTAATACAATGAAATATAACAGGAATTGCCATATATAGTGGTGCTGTTTATTTTGTTCTAATTATTTGATATACGAACTATTCAGAGAACATAAGAGTATTCGGATTTGCATCGAATATATCGAATGTTTCAAACAATTTGAATTAATCGACATCAATCTATATGAATAGTTTATACGTTTTGAACTATTCGAATAGTTTGATTTTTTTGAGTGTAATTAGGATTTCTTAGCATTTTAAAGTTAAGAGAGAGGGCAGTTTTACTTTTTAAGTTTTTTATAAAGCCACACTGGCATTTTGGCGATATATTCTTGTTCCTGCTTTGAAATTATTTCAATAGATTTATGTGCTCTATGAAACCACATGAATGTCTGTTTTTTTTTCTAAAATATATTATTAAATAAAGTAGTGCAAATACAACTCTGTAAATATTAGTTGAAATACACATATAATAAATAAAGAGTGTAAATAAGAGACGTATATGCTAATCTCATCCTGGAGTTCTTCCATAAATGGAAAATAAAAATTAACAATGAGAAAACTAAAGCCCTATTGACACGCTAAGAGACCTTAAAACAGATCCGGTCAAAAAATACATAAGGGACAGAGCTCTGAAGCTATATGCGAAAACCGACAGGCTGTCCTACTTAGCACTAACTAATCTCAGAGTAATCACTAACCGCACGTGGCGGTACGCAGGTCTTAGATAAGTCATTGAATAATTACGAAGGAATACTCAAATTAGTCATTGAGATGGGTGGGACTCTGCAGAAACTCTTCAGCTATTAAAGAGTAAAAGTGCCCAGATGCGCTAACTTGGAAAAGGCTCAAGATTACAATACATTACATACATTTATATAACTTATATAGATTACATAGTATAACATAGTGTCAGGTGTGACAGAGAGCGTAAGTCAAAGTCACAAGTGAAAATATAAGAAGTTATGCCATGAAATAATACTACTTAATTATATGTTATGAATGATGTATAAATATATTAAGTTCTTTGTTTTGATAAATATTACTTTCTCTTTTTTAAATTGATTAAAAATAAAGTATTTATTTTTTATTAATTAACGTCTACCTAACAAAGTCTTCAAGATAATTCTTTGTTGTTCTGTGAGTTTGAGATTAGAAATGTTATCACTAATGCTCTTCGTGGTTTCAGTTTTCTCATTGTTTTGAGCATTTCCATCTGTTTCCAGTGTTTTTGAATCATCACTTGGCTTCGTTGGGGTGTTTTGGGCTCCTGATTTTAAAAAAAAGTAATTACATTATTTTATTATATAAGAAAACGTTAATTCAAAATTTACCAAGACATGCAGCAATTACACTTAAAGCAAGACAAAAAGTAAATAAAAACTTCATTTTTCTAAGAAATCAATTGCTTCAGTATCTATGAATTTCCACAATAAAGTGATAAGTGTTTATTAGTTAGTAGCTTATTTTATAGTTACCGCTTAGATAATTAATGACAAAATCAGGTTTTACACCCGTTGTTATTTTTAATAGTTATGAGAATATTACATCTAGTTTTAGATTTGTAACTACTGAAAAGTAATTACATTTATTTATATATTAAAATGATTTCAATTAATCATCTCATATGTAAAAGTTATAAGTTCATCACAATGTTTTCACACTAGATTGTGAAATATATGTGTTTAGCTTAAATTAATCTATGTTAATCTATTTTAACAACGATTAAATAGAAACAGGATAAATACTTCCTGATTATATTAAGGAACCAGAAAAATTATTACCATTATATAAATATTATTGTCATACTCATACTTTTTAGATACTGTATTGGCAAAAATTAATTACAGATTAATAAATCGACTTAACTGTGAGGAAAAATTAGATTTACGAAAATTTAATTTACTTTATTTAGGAGATAAAATATATTTTATGATAAAAATATAGTAGCAGCTAGTCAAAGTATAAGCCTTACTAGAGTTTTTTTAGTAGATATTTTTGTCATTTCAAAGATATTAACACTACTTGTTAATAATTTGTTAATTGATACCATCTTTTCGTTAGGTATTGTTTATAAATTATTTATATATATATATATCGAAAATTAATATCCAACAACATATATTTATAAAGTAGTAATACAGTTCAAAAAATTTATTATCAATCAATCCAGTACGTTCCCAGGGGAACATTGGGCCATAACAAACTTTTTCCAACTGTCACGATTTTTTGCCAGGGTTTTAATTTCTCCAAAGGTTTTTCCGCTTGCTTGGATTTCTTTCTCCCGTGTTCGCTTCGACGTTTGCTTGGGCCTACCAGGTCTTCTGCTTCCTTGAGGATTCCATGTTATTGCTTGTTTGCAGATTTCATTTGGTGCCTTCCTCAAAGTGTGCCCGATCCATTGCCATTTACGCTTTTTGATTTCGTTTCCTATAGGAAGTTGGAGGCATCTTGACCATAGTTCGGAATTTTTAATAGTGCGGGGCCACCAAATTTTCAGAATTCTCCTAAGGCATTTGTTTATAAAAGTTTGCAGTTTATGAATCAGGTTGTAGGTGGTAAGCCAGGTTTTGCAGCCGTAGAGCAGAACGCTCTTAACATTACTGTTAAATAACCGCAGCTTGGTGTGCTGGGAGAGTATTATAATTATAACAAATAAATTGAAATAAATCTAAAGGCAAGCCACCAGCTGTTAATGTTTTATTTGGTGCTGCACTGTACTGTATTTAACTGTTAATATAATCTTTTTAATTAAAAATTATATAATTAATTATAATTATAATTAATGTAATAAAATTGAAATAAGTTCAAAGCAAGACATCAGTTGTCAATCTTTTCTTTAGTGCTGCTTATGCATTGGAGACCGAATTTGACAATGTTTAGTAAAAAATAAAAAACGTTGAGGAAAGTCTTCGATGACTATATAATCACCAGAAATGAAGACAGAACCAGTAATCTGAAAACTAAATTTTTAAAAATCCATTTTATTAAATTTTATGTAAGTGAAAATGTTACTAAGGCTTGTATGATATGCAGTTGTTGATGGAGTTTTTCTAATCTCCTTATGACACAAGTATTCATAGATAAGTTAGAAAACAAGAAAAGCTTGCTTTAAATTTGTAAAAGTTCTAACTAATCGTGAAATAAATATAAAATTGCGAATATGATAAATAAAATGTTCTTTTTAAACCATATTATTGTATAAAGTAGACACAGGGATTCTTGAAGTTGAGGCAATGAACAAAATAGCTACCATCGTCTAATAAGGATACCTGAGATGGACCATGTAGCATATGACGAAGTTCTAAGATATTATTAAAAAGGCCGATATCTACTTATAATTCTCAAATACTAAGAGACATCTTGTCTAATGCATAGACATATTAATAATTAATAATTAATCCACTACAAAATATACTACAGTAAAGAATAATAACAAAAAAGTGGTATTGGATGTAAATAGATATTATGACATAGATATGTCCATTTACATTTGGGAAACTCATTCATACCGCTTAAGACAAAATGTCATTCTCAATGCATAATATATTTTTTTTTTCTTATTTAATTTTTATTTTCTACCTTAATTATTTTAACTTAATGTATCTTATACGAATTTTTAAATTTATGTAGAATAAATAAATAAAATAAATATGTCCACCAACATCTAGTAATGGAAAGACAGTTTAAGATGAATATTTTACAAATACTATTTAAATATATATTGATTTTTGAAAATCAATTTATAGGTTCGCAAGTCTAGAACGCGCTTGACATCAATCAAGAGAGAAAGTGTAGAAAGAATGGTCTAGAGAAAACTTGACTATATACTTTGCTTTAAATTAATACACATATCTTACATAAAGATCTGGAGCATATTTATAAGAACAAACAGACTTTAAGTCTATAAGATTAAGAAACTAATTTAAAATTCATATACGTTTTTACAAATTAAAATTTCTGTAAAATAATTTTACTTTATAACAGTTTATTTATAATTTTACTTTAAAACAATTATTAATATAACGTTTTTAAACATATTAAAATAGGACGTGTTCATTTTTATTTAAAGTGTATGATGTGCAGCGCCGATCAAATGGGCTGCACCTGGAGCACCTGGAGCTCCTGGGGCACCATGCCCGTCATGATGTCCATCAGCTCCATCAGCTCCATCTTCGCCGTTTTCGTTAGGAGCATCACCGTGGGGATGATGTTCATGTCCTTCAGTACCGCCCTCACCACCTTCACCACCATTACCACCCTCATCTGGGGAGCCTGGAGTACTTTGCTCTGGCTTCTGAGGACTATGTGGAGTGCCTTTAAAATATTAAATTGTTATTTATTCGATTTTTTTATTTAAAAATTATTTTTTACTGGAGCAAATAGCTGCTACGCACAACACAAGGCAAATTGTAATTAAAAACTTCATTGTTCGTGCACTACAATCTTCAGATATCAACTTCAAAATGATACTCAACTGTTGATTTTCGATTTATTTTATAGTTGCTGGTTACATAATTGACAGCTTGTATTCATTTCTTATCAAAGGTCGTGTGTACTTTTTTATTTTAGAACGATTTAATTTGACCCCCTTTAACCTTCAATTTTGACATAAATTTCACACTTCTCAATTGCTTTTAATGACTTAAGTCAAGATGAAGTTTTAAACCATAAATTAATATATTAATTTTAATTACAATAATCACGTACATAACGTGAACTTATGAGAACCGAATTGTGTTGTCCAAATATCATTCAGTAAATACCCTTTAAACAATTTTTAACAAGTAACTTCAAGTTGAGACATGGTTATGAGTTAATAAATAAATTGTAATATCTACATATGATTAAATTTATAATTATGGTTTATTATATTATTAACCAAATTTTTCGTAAATAATAATAATAATAATTTTTATTTTACTCATAATTATAAATTTGATTTTAACGCCAGTTTGACAGTAGTGACTGTTTTTACCTAATCGATACTGTGGTCAGTTGGCTAATGAACGCTGACTCTGAGCTTCAAATTTGACAGGGCACGACTTCAATCCTAGGTACTTCCACTCTCAAAAAGTTATTTAAGAATATTTACATATAAAAAATAATTCGAATTCCACTGATGATGGGTATTTGACAATACTCGAAAAAGCTCTATGGTCAGCCAAAAATTCAGCTAATTAAAATAATATTAAAGAATTTTTGTGTTGTAGTTCACTACTTTTTGAAAAACCTCTTTAAAAATAATTGTAGTAATAATAATAATAATATTTATTCTTTTTTACTAATAATAATAACAATAAATAATAGTATTGCATTATTCATATTTTATTTAAAGTTGGATTTGTTCTGGGATTGCGTTTGGTAATTATGATCAGTTGCATGAAAAGTATTTAATTAAAATATAATTAAATTTAATTAAAACTGATATTTAAGTACTGATAACTTTAAGTGTGTACGAGTAGCAGACAGAATATTTACAATTAATAATTTTTATTAAAAATTTACAAAGAAAACGTTTTATTTCTGTTATTGTATTTTAATTTATGCTATTGTTGTGTAATGGAAAGATTTTTTTATTTTCCTCTCAGTTGAAGTAATCGAAGGAAAATTTCAATAACGATTTAATTTATAAATTTAAAGCAAACTAAAAAATGATGTTAAATAAACAACAAAAAGAAAATTAATTAAAATAATTGAAATCCAAACACATTTAATTACTGAAATGGCGTTTTAAAAGCACTTACTAATTACCGTAATTGAAGCTACTGTAATGGATCAGCCGTTGCATTCGTTTGAAGGATTTTTGATTTTCAACTTATTATTAAAGAGATCTAGTTTTTCGGTTTATCATTTCTATTCAAAAACTTTTTTTCTTTATCTTTTGGGATATATTTCCATAATTTCCAAATCATAAGAATAATAAATTAATGAACAACTGGTGTAACTGAGACCGGGTGGTGAGACATAGTGTATTAGTTTGATATGTATACCAAACAGTTGGCTTCAGAACTTCGCTTTAATAATGAGCTGAAATATGTGAAGTTTATTTTTTCTCCCAGAACTCTCCCATGGAGCTAAGTTATTAAAGAAATAGAAATATTTGAAAGTTATAAAGTGTCCGATAGATAGGTCTACATAAACACTTTACAAAGACAATTGTACGTGTATATTTATATAAAAATTCAACAAATTATATCAATCAAGTCCCGATCATTGAAGTCTTAAAACAATTTTATGATGATTAAAATTTTTCATTGCCATAAACGTATTGCTTTAAATGAAGCCTATTTCGAAGGTAATAGCGTGCTTCACTATAGTATTTCTTTTAAATACTGTAATACAAAACTTTACACTTCGATGAAAGGTACTCAGATGCTTTCATCACCACCTTCTACAACCGTTGAATTCGTGAACACGGTCACAGGGTTTACAACTGATATATCCCTCGCGTTTACACAATAACCCCACTCGTTTCATATTTATCACATCTAAGCTTTATGGCTTAGATAAGTCTAGACTTCTAAGTACTGTCTTTTTATCTCAACTCTCTTCTCTAATTGTTGAATTGAAGTTCCATCTACTGTAATTCGAATTTGTGATGGAAATTTTTTCTATTCAATTCTAAGAGGTGCTTTAACCCACTATAAAGTTTTACACTGTCACTATCGTTGTTTTCCACATAGCGCAAAAAAAAAATGTAAAAATGTACATTTATAAATATGTGTGTATGTAGAATGAGTAAAATTTTTAATATTTTTCTATTTTATTTATGCCTCATATAGCGCTTCATTTGTATAGGGCATTAAATTTTCGATAAAGCCGTTGCAAACTTTTATAGTTCTGAAGAACATGAAATAATAAATTAAATACACAATTAAATTTAAGGAACAAAAAAATGATTCACATATTTACTAACTATTATTAACAACTTAAAGTTTTCGATGTGTTCATCGATTTTAGTTCAATTTTGATCTTTAACAAATGAGCAGTCAATAAATTTTACGTGGATTGTGTTTAATAGAATTCATGTAAACTAAACTTTTAATGAGCAGAACGTTTTCTAAAAAAATTATATAAATAATTTCAGATCTAAGCATTATGTAGATATGAGTTAAAGATTTAAAAATGTAAATCTCAATAAATAATATAATATAATATGACGATAATATGAAGATAAGATATTATTTAAGATGTATATTTATAAAAGCTGTTTTATGTTATATATAAATAAAGATTTCAAAAAATTAAATATAGATTATATATCGACATATCAGCTCCTGATTGTATGTTACAGACCTTTCAGTTGAAGAGAAATTTTTGTACTGTCCTTTGTATTCAGTGTGAAGTAATTTTTAAAATAACTAATGAATACGTCGTCGTTGAGACTAAATTTTTTTATAGTAAATATTGGGATTATAGTCGATTGGTTGCAGAAATGAATGATAAGCGATTCGTGAAACATTTTCAACCATTATTTTTTACATTGTACAAAAAAATCCTACGATAATTCAATTTTAAAATTTAAATCGGGTTATTGGCCATTTGTTGAAAAAAGTCGTGTAGTTGGGAAGAAAGAAATAACTGATGGCAATATTATTGATTGATATTGTATTGTCTTAGCACTTTACTAAGATCTACTCTGACCTTTTTAATGAAACGTGCAATACTTGGTAAAGTAGTCTTTTTACCACAAAAGTGTGTTATTTGTGCTTTTGTGAACTTTGGCGCACAAGACTGTTGGTTTAACCTTATCTAACCAATAGTGGTGAAAGGAGATTCTATACTGGACATATGTTAACCATGAGCGTTGATTAGTGGCGCAGTAGGTGAATAATACTTAATTTTACATTCTCTAGGCCTTAGCTATGACAATATACATACGTTAAAAAGATCTAGAAGATTCCTATAAGATAGCGTCCCGTGAAATTGGAACACGTATTAGATGGTAGTGGCGAGTAAAATCACTAAGTTATTGAGCTCTTTTTTGGTTTTAGATACTTTTTGGTGTTATATTAGAGCCATCCGTAAGCCGCCATTTTGTTATATTCAGTAAAAACATGATCTGACACTTAAGTGATGAATGTGAGTTTTCAAATTTATATAATAAAGAAAACAATAACAGAAGAAAAGAAACATTGTTCCATTAAATTATATGCAGCCTGTAACTACATGAATAATCAGTCTATTAAATATATATATATAGACATGAATATATACATATATATATATATATAATTATATGTATATATATCTATATATTATATATATATATATATTGTTGTGTAGCGTTTAGCAAAGCTTCAAACACTACTATTCAGAGCTAAAAATTGCACAAACCCAGATCCTGAGAAGACTTTTTAAAATTCCATGGCACATTAGGACGAATGACATCCTCAGGGACATCAAGATTGATCCCATCCAAAAATACATAAAGAATAGAGCGCTGAAATTATTTGCGACAACTGACAGACTAACCAACACCGCGTTATCAAATCTTAAAATGGTTGCAGCTTCCTAGGGGAGGTATGCAGACCTGAGGTCAATTATTGCTTAGTCTGATTAAGTGATAAACAATAATCTAATCAAGGTGTAAAGAGGGATTTTGAAAATACCTCGAGTTAAAAAAGAATAGAAGTGCTTAAGTGCACTAGCTCAAAACAGCTTCAGCATTGATTGATTAAGTTTAATCTTCCACTCAGCGGTCTAATGATGGCTATTGTTGAGCGCTGTCTGTAGTTTATTTGTGGCTTCTTGTTGTGTGTTTCCATATGCTATTACTACAGTATCATTGGCGAACGTTTCGATGAATATATGTTCGAATGTTCTTCTTCATATGTTACCCTGAATATTCTTTCTGATAAGTATGACTCAAGAAGTTTGCAATAATTAGTCGGCTGTATTTTGCCCATCTTATATATAAGTCCTTGGTGCCATACACGACCAAATACTTGGGATACGTCAATAAACACTGCAGGACAGTATTTCTTTTCTTCAAATGCTTTTTCAATTGTCTTAATTACTCGATGAAATTGATCAATAGTCAAGTGCTTATTCCTAAATCCAAATTGAAAGTCACGTTATTGATCATAGACTTGAGGCGTCGAAGTAATAGCTTCTCGAATAGTTTTGAAATTGTTGGTAACAGTGATATCGGTCGATATGAGTTAACTTGTTCTGGTGGCTTATCTGGTTTTTTTATCATGATAATTTTTGCTATTTTTAAACATTTCAGTACGTATCTTAACCGAAGACAGGCATTGAATAAATATGTCATCATGATAATTGATTAACGTGATAACTCTTTAAATAAGCCCTGTGATATTTCATCTATTCCCGGTGCTTTTTTTGGATTGAGGTTATTATCAATTTCTTGTGCTATTTCTGTAGGTGTTATGGATTTGATAGTTGACGATGGTTGGTATAAAGGTGTAATATTAACATCAGATGGAATGTCATGCGGTGGGAATACTGCAGCAAGATGTT